AGGTTTCAGGGCGGTAGTGCTTTGGGGTCTGAGCTGAAGGGGCTTTGGCGTGGTCCAGGCGTCTTTAGTAGATATCCCTGCTGGAAAGGTACAAGTAAGTGTTCAGCTCACACACAGAAGATGCAATCAGGGTTTTATCGATATGCTAGTGGTTTGAGTCAATTGCGTGTGTTTTAGTGCTGGCTGAAAGTCTGAAATCATTAGGCCAATGTGAGAAAAAAGGTTGGAGGTTGGAACCTTTAAGGGAATATATTTCCAGTCTTTCTGGTCTTTTTATTTTATAATGTCATCTTCAAAGTATTGGTTTTTGTTAAGAACAGGTATAGGATTAATTATGCTCTAAAGATTTTAGGGGGTTTCTTATCATGTTTTAATGGATCCCTATGAATAATTTTCTGGTAGTGGCTCAGTATGCATTGTGGTGTCTTCCATACCCAGAGAAATTTAAAAATTGCTCTCTTATAGTTTCAATGCAGAGTCACATTCACTGAGGACACAGAGATTGCACCCCCCGCCCCTTCCTCCAATGAGTCTCTGTGTGTTTCAATGACAGTCGATGGGTGACGGGGTGGGAGGCCAGCTCTGACAGCTGTCTGGTTTTGGTGCATTTTGGGGAACAGAGTGATGCAGAGAGCGGCTGGGCACTGGGTGGAAAACCGGTACTTCAGCAAGGACTCCCCAAATCGTAGCGCTGCTTTGTCCCAGAGTGACTTTATCTTACTGCTGGATTTTGAAGCTTCTAGGGGTTTTCCCTAAAAAGAGAAACATTTGAATATCTTCTTGCAACGGTTTGCCATCAGCAAAGGAGAGCTGTGGCACTCTAAGAAGGACTGATTTTTGTAATGACAGGGTCCCAGGGCTGTCAGCATGGGAGCAGCTGCCAGTCTGCAGTGATTCTTGCCCATGTGCTGTGCAGATACTGCAGGAAGCTCCATGGTGCTTATCTAAGTGATGAGGTCCACACTCCCTCCCTGGAAATGCAGGGTCCTGGTCATGCATCCCCATAAAGCCTTGGGATCTGGACCTGGGCCTTACATGTATCGAGAGCAACCTCTTGTCCTTGAACATGGGTTTGTGACCCCAGTGTCCTTTTAATACATAATAGAAAAGCAACTTCAAAAGAGAAAGTTGAGTCCAACTCCCCAGCAGGCAAATGATGCATCTCCCAGCATCTGCCAGGCAAGTCCCTGGTAAACCCCTCTCTGTATGAACTTCAAAAGGAGAGAGCTGTCATTTGGCAAAACGATGGACAAAAACACCAGCATCCTGGGAGTGCAGCCTGGTGGTATGCCTATTATCAGCCGCTAAGCAAAACATGTTTATTTTAGCACAAAGGCACTAGTGACTAAGCTTGAAATATTCTGAAATTGGTGCTGAAATGACCTCGAGGTCATCCTGAAGGTCCCACAGCTAAACAGATTAGATAGACACGTTAGGGATGAGCAGTATATAAAAGCACAAGGCTCAAACATCCTGTCAGGAAGAGAATTGAGAAATTTTGTAACAACAGGTGAAGATAGTAGGGTTGAAATGCTGAAGAATTTTAACTGTCTGAATTTTTTCAGGTGAGAGATTAGTTAAATTCAGGGTGAAGTGAAAATGAAATACGGTCAGGAGCCAGCCACTTAAGACACGTAATACAGCAATTGATCCTGAAAGCGGCAAGCCACGCATCAGTATTCCTGACTTTATCAAAGGATATTGTCTCTGTCGTCATCCCGATGCATATTTGAAGTGATGCAAATTTAAAGTAGGCCGTGATCAATATGTGATTCCTTTTATGCCGTTTGAGTTCTCAATCCTTCCTCTCAGTGAAATTACGACAGCATCTCGGTGCTCAAGCGAAACCTGTGCCAGCCTCTGCAGGCACACAGTCTGAAGTATCGCTTTTGAGAGCGACTTGCGTAATTTAAGGCGCTGCCCCGTGGCAGGGAGCTCAGCGCAGGGACAGAAGCCACTGCCGCCCTGTTCTGCGCTGTGGGGCAGTCCCAGTGCTGTTTGCTTTACTGGTGTGGCCCCAGCCAGAACGTGCATTTCCCAGCTCCACCGGGACGGTCCCCAGCGCAGCCTGGGGAAATGAGCTTTTCCTGCATCTTGCTTTCCCATGTGTACGATGAGGAGATGCTTCCTCATCTCAAAGGGGCGGTGAGAGGAGAAGTCCATCCCGATGTAGGCAGGGAGAGGCTGGGAGCAGCAGAGGAACAAATCGGCTCTGTTTGCCTGCACCGCTCCTGCCGTGGCTGCAGGGGCACCTGATTACTTGATTTTGGCAAATTTCCTTTTACGCTTCTGCCAGGGACTTACAGAGAGTTGTGGAGAGGAGCTAAAAATAGTAAAAATGATCGCTTCTTCCTTAAAGAAAGTAATTATATCATTCCCTCCCTTCCCTCAAAGCGCTTTAGGTGTCAGCACCTCTTCTTCATGGGGCCATGTAACGCCAAAAGCCAAATTATATAGTCCTTCATAAAGGGGTTTATCCCTCTGCTGAATGAACTTGCAGCGGAAGCCCAGACACAGCGCACTGGCTGTGTCACCTTCTCTGAAGGTCTGTTGCCATCAATCTTGACCTGCTAATGTCACAGGGTTAAAAATATATCGGGTGCAGAATGGCTGGTAAATGCTGGTTTTGTCACCGTGAAAGAATGATGTGGCGGCAGTGAGCCAAACTCATCCCCTCTGCTGTGACGGCTGCAGCTTGTGCACCAGCCATCATCCAAAGAAGTGTGTCCTCATTGTATGGCTCCACACGTATGTTTTTCCTCAGTGCTGCCAGCTTGTCTGTAAGGAGAGACATTGCATACAGGTGGAAAGTCGCTCGGGCACCTGCCTGTTGCACTGAATTGGAGCCCATGCTACCATGTATTTTAAAATCAAAGTTTGTTTGTTTTTCATTTTTAGGAGTGTCAAATCCCAGTGCTGTATGTAAATCAGCAGGAGATTTTCAGGGGTACTTCTTGCTGCGTGAGTCTTGTTGTTAACTTGCTTAGGACCACCATTGACAAGGGTGCTGCAAATCCTGGGTATCCCCCTGCCTCTCCCTGCCCTCCTCAGAAACTGGGACTCTGCGACTGCCGATGAGAGTGCCGGGCTTACCTGTGGACAGGCAGGCACACAGGAGGGGTTACTGTACAAATACGCACCCTGTGTTATAGGTGACAAAGCTAATGCATCCAAGATTAGATACTTCTTATTTTGGGCAACCTTGGCAAAGTGTCAGGATGGGTGAGAGAAGTCAGAATGGGATGTTTTTGGGTTTTCAGGTTTTCTTCTGTGTCCATGTTGGTGTGAGGATGGGCTGGCACCCTGGGTCATCTCTCATGTCCAGCTAACGTGGTTGTCCCCAGCGGGGATTAGAGGAGAACAGGGGAGAGTAAGCGTGTCAGGGCAACGTGGCTCCTACGCTGCTGAGCAACACCTACAGCTTACTTATGGAGCTGCTGCTCGTGCAAACCAGGGCTCATTCCCAAGAAGCACGGCTGTCACATCCTCTGCCTGCCTTGCTGGCTGAAACCTGGGCAGGGCACTAAGGGCTACTGGTGAAATATTGGTCTGGCTGAATTCACTGGCACAACTTTGGAGCTTCACTGGAGCATCTCCATTTCCTGAGGAGCAGCGGGAGTTGTTTCCCAGCCTGAGAGTGCCCTCTGGCGTTTGTAGAAGATGGTAAAGATTTTCATTTATTGAAGTGGTTTTATTTGGCTTCCTCCTTTTCTTAATGTTTTGCAGCCAGTGTGGTTATTCGTGGAAGTCTGCCAGGGAGGTGCATGCCTTAAAGCACTGAGAGGTGAGCCTCAGACCAGTCCCTTGTGTCATCCGCATTTATACACCCAGCAGCTGATGCTAATTTTTTAAACAGTATATTTGCCATATGCAGCATAAGTAATGGGAGGCTTCTAGACCCCATATCTCGGTTCTGATTTCCTTCCAGCAATGCCTGGCAGGTCCCCAAAACCAGCCTGCAGCAGGTCCTGCTCTGGCTGTGCCCGGGCAACGGGTGCTCCCCTGGGCGCTGCCTCCGGCCATGCGCCTGGGGCTCCTTGACTGAGCAGAGCAAGCAGAGCTGCTCCCCTGCTAGGCTGCATTTCAAAGCCCTGGTTGAATAGGGAAACTGGGCTGCAAAGAGGTAGGAGCAGCTTTTTAAAAACAAACAAAACCTAGCCCTTTTCTCCGGGGAGAAGGCAGGGTGTTTAGAAGTGGTGGCAGCGTGAGCGTGCATTGCCATAGTTATGTGGAACTGAAAACAGACAGCAAATGTGAAGCATAAACACAAAAGCTGCAGTAAATATAAATCTTCCCCATACGTAGAGTTCTTTCTTGGAAAAATGTTGTTATCCTGTCTCTGTTAGGACATTCTGGTTTGAAAAAAACAAATTTTTTTTTTTTTTTTAAATAGTTTCAAACTTTTGTGGGCAGTTGTAATAACGAATGTGCTGGTAGGGAGCAGAAAAGTGTGTTGAGCGCTCTGGTGTTGCACTCTGCTGGAGGCAGACCAGGTGGTAGAGTATTGCAGTGGCTTATCTGGCAGCTGCGGGTTGAAGGCACCTTCTAGCGGAACAGCATGGGGGGGTGTGACATTTTGAGGAACGATGTCAAGTACGGATCACCCCTTGCATGCCCTTTCTTCTCCTTGCTCCTCTCCTGGAGTGTTCCAGTGTGAGTCAGAGTACCCTCACTCGCTCTTGCCAGGTTATTTCGTGTTGTCAGCTGCCAGGAGGTGATCCATGCTTGCAAAGCTACCTCCTCCTGCCCAGAGGTGGGAGGAGATCTGCTGTCCAGATCCAGTGGTCGGTGTTCATCAGTGACTGCCGGTGGAAGAGGAGATGGGGTAACTGGGCTGGAGGCTGGGAAGACCCATGTTGGGCTTGGGTGCTCTTCTCCAGCTGTGCGGTGGCCATTCTCAGATGTCCTGGTTGTTGTTTGCTTCTCAGCAGCCAGTTTTTGCTCACATTTTCTCCCAGCTCTCTGCTGACCTGTCTCTTCTCTCTGTGTTTTTTCCTCAGGTCGAAAGCTGAGAGGAAAAGCCTTTTATTTTGTGAATGGCAAGGTGTTCTGTGAAGAAGATTTCCTGGTAAGCGCACAGCTGACCCTTGTGCTGCATCTCTCAGCCTCTCTGGCAGATGCGCAGCCTTTCTGCCCGGCAGCTTTGCCTGTGTTTCAAGGGCTCTAGTCCAGCCTCCTGCCTGTCCCTTCTGCTCTACCATTTACCCTGGGCCAGGCCTGAGCATGGTGGCTGCCCATGTGTGGTGCTGGAAGTAGCCGAGTGAGAGGCCGTAGTTTTGCAGTACAGAGCCCATAGTTGAAGCTGTAGCCTCTTGCGATGGCTCCTTGAAAACTGTGCCTCCCTGAAAGCTCCTCTGGCTGTGCCATGGAGACAGGAGCAAGATGAATGGCTACAGAAGAATGAATGAGTGAATTTCCTTTTCCAGTAAACTGGTTTTGCTTGGACATCGTAATGGATATCTTTCCATTGCCCTCAGTGGCTTTTGTGTGAACGTACCTGAGCATGAAGCAACCCTATGGTCCTGTCCTTGGCTAGTGGAGATAAAAAGCTGTATACCCGCTGCCCCCAAGCCCTCAGAGATTAAGCCTTCATTGAGACTTGAAAAATTTTGCCTACTTGTTGGGGAAGTCTAGTGATTTCTGGCAGAGTAGCGAGTTAATGTTCTTTGTTCACATCAGTATATTCTACAAACTCTGAAAATTGAAAGATTGGTTAAATGTGTCTAAATTATTTCATTTTCCCAGTTTACATTTCCACCATTCAGACGGGACTGAAACCTTAGCAGGCGATGTGTTGTGCCTGAGGCGCGTGTTGTGGACATGACGGGCAGTTCCTCATGATTACATCTCAGCAATGGCAATAAGAAAGGTGCTCTGGGCCAAACTTGAATGTTACACTACCAGAAAGCTAGGACAGTACCACTGACCTCAGCGAAGCTTCAGCAGACCTTTAACAGTGTAACCAAAGGTAGAATTTGGCTTCCCATGCCTATAAATACATATGTTGTGATATGAAGATATAATAAACGCAAGTAAGTTCCTGGCTTGTAGACTCACGTGGTCAAATAAGCATGTAAATGCCTTATTTGCATGTGCATTTATGGTATTTACTTATACACTTAAATAAACTTAGGTTAAGGACTTGAAAGTTACAGGAACTCATACTCCTTCTGAACACTGGAAGTCTGGAGTCATTCTAGAATATCCTCTGAGGGCCCATCCACATCTTCATTTACTGAAAAAAAGTGCTGGGAAGTTTAGCTTGTGTAAGGAGTACAGAAAAAGGCCAAGCAAATAACGCCCCACAATACACTGTTGTTTATGCTCAACTGGCCTTGTGAAATTTTAAGCCAATTCTTTTTTTGTCCTTGCAGTATTCTGGTTTCCAGCAGTCAGCTGACAGGTGTTTCATTTGTGGTCATTTGATAATGGACATGGTAAGTGATAATTGCTTTAGGAAAAAAATTCCCACAGCTTTTTAGAAGAATGCATCAAAAGCAAAATATATTCATATCCAGTGCTGTCTGTTACCATCTGGTAGCCTGCCTAGTGTGAGATTGGTAGCAGAAAGAAAATCCACTAAGCCTTTTGTTGATTTTTGTGGGGAAGTGAAGCTGGCACCCTGCTGCGTGTGGTGCAGAGACTTTGCTCTACCTGTTTACAGTGCAAGTTGAAAAGCAGAGCCTTCAGCTCTTTCATCCCCTCTCGGCCTTCTCTGACCAGCATATTCGTAATCCCGTTGATGCTTCCTGCTCAGAAGTGCCGTGGCTCTGCAGTGCTCCCTTGCTGTGGGGTATCGCTGTGGCTCTGCTGAGCCTATCTTCCCTATAGTCAAGCTGTGGCTTCTCATGTACCTTCAGGATGAAGCTACTGTCTTGTTGCTGCTTTTTGTGGGTGCTGATACTCTGGGGAACAGGTTTGACCCAGAGCAGGTGATCCAGACCGCAGTTCAGATCTGTCCGAGTCCTTCAGTAGGTGGGGTGACGTCCGTCTGAAGCAGGCAGTTGTCGTTAGCCTACAACAGGTATCATCCGTTCGTGATGTGCACGGAGTGGGGTCACAGCCCGGGGGGTCAGCTGGCCTTTACCAGAACTTATCATTAATTATCTTTGCTTGCCTGCTTACACTGTAAAGCATTAAAACTGGAAAAGCTATTTTATACTCAGAAGTCTGATCACCTGGCTGATGGACCATGGTATTCCAGGCAGTAATTTGTGCCCCAAAGCCAGCCGGTGAATTGCAGATGTTGAGTTCAATACGGTTTCCATAGTCTGTGTTCATTAGAAAGCCAGGCTAGCAAGTACAAAGCTCTTGGATATCTAAGGCATTATGAAAACCTAGCAATAGTATTTGTTTCAGCCTCTTATGGAGAATATAAAGATTTCCTTTTATTGGTCTGGTATGTCTTGCCTTGTGATCCTGCTAAGTATTCTCCACCTGTTGGCTTCAGAAATTATTTTCTTTCCTTTAAATTCTGTCACTTCCATCCTTTGTAATGCTAAATACCTTGACTGAGACTCTAAATGGTTTTCTTACCCATGCTAATAATTCATTTTTCTGGAACCAGGTGATATATATTGATTCCAGCTGCTCTTTCCGTCCCTGTTAACTCATTTTTCAAATGAGGTGCCTGAAAAAAGACACAGCCTCACTGATGAGTGTGCAGCATTGTCTGATGTAAAGTTGTGTGTTTATTATTTTCACCTTTATTGGCTGTTCATATGCATTTTTCCTCTCTCTTGGTTTGTTGCAGATCCTGCAGGCTCTAGGGAAGTCATATCATCCAGGCTGCTTCCGATGTGTGGTCTGCAACGAGTGTCTGGATGGTGTACCATTCACTGTAGACTCTGAAAACAAAATCTACTGCGTCAGAGATTACCACAAGTAAGGACAAAATAAACAGCAGAGATGTTCCAACCAATCAGCCTATAATTTAGCTTTTCAGCTAATTAGGAAGTGTAGATTAGTAAAATAGGGACAGGGTTGGAAGCTAGAAGTTTGAGCATGGGGCTAGACCCTAGAAATTCCCAATGTCTTTCCTTTTGCCCTGCCATCAACTGCTGTGTAACTTTGAGGAAGTCACTTAATCCCTGGCCTTCAGCTGCCCCTTCTGCAAAGCAGAGGTAGTGAGAAATCGTGCTCATGAAGCATTCAGTGATGCAAGAAGTTAGTCCTCTCTGAAGTAAGACTGTGAATGCCTGTTGAAATCAGCATGAGTTGCTTTTTGAGTAGTTGCAGGGCTGAGTTTGACTTTTAAAGAATGCTTTTAGAAATCACCGCTGAACGCGCAAAGTGAAACTTTTATCCAGCTCTAAATTAAACAACCAATAAATCCACTTAAAAAATCACTTGTCATTTAGACAGTAAAATAAAATGGCTGTGCTCTTAGCTGGTAGTTATGATATTAGAGCTGCCTACATTTTGAGTGTCCATCTGGCTCGCTTTGCTCCTTGCTCCATTTTCTGAGCAGGCAGAGTATTAAGTGTTGCTCAGGCAGCCCCTGGAACTGTTCTGTGTTGTGCCAGGATTAGAGTTGCTTCCATGTGCCACCGTTGTTCTGAAATGATGCATATTTCCTTGCAATTTAATTTAATTTAATTATTTATTTATCATATTACGTTGTGTTATAAGGCCTTAAGGAACTGTACGGTCCTGTGGTATTTTCTCTGAGGTTTCCTGCCCTGAGGCTGCCACTTCTTTTGATGTGTTTTTCTGGGGACGGTCCTGCTCAGTTTCTCTCAGTAGCAGCCAAGAATCTTACAGTGGGTTTTGGGGGTTTTTTCTGGCACTAAGTGTAAAATGTAAGGTCTCTTTTTGCCTGATTGAGCAACGTGTGCCAAGCATTACTTAAAATCAATGCTAAAATGAATTTATGATCTCGAAAGCTTTCATGTGGATGAGTTATTTACAGCTGCAGCTGTAAATATGTTCTCGCTGAGAACATACAGGCCTCTCTTTTTATGTTAATCTATAACTCACCTTCAATTTCTCATTGCTTTTCCAGAGTTTTAGCTCCAAAGTGTGCAGCATGTGGACTTCCCATTCTGCCCTCCGAGGTGAGAGCCTTTTATTCTACGTCCCCTCAGGGGAGGGAGTATCATGTCTCAGGTCTTTCTCTCTTTCACACTTGACCCAATGTCAAGACAAACGTTCTTGGGAATGGGGAGAGATGATCCCTTCCTCCAGCGTGCAACCTTTTGACCTAGGCTCATACACTGCTCTTGAGATGTGACCCTTCTTTTGCTCCATAA